CAAATTAGCTGGTTTGAGAGAGTGGGTCGAACTTTTGGAACGGCGCAGTATTACACATTCCCACCATGTAATTCCTTCACTAGTGTAGTATTGACGCATATATCAACCCTGAAGCTCATTCCGATTTCTGGCTGCGCCGAGGCTCCGTTCATGTAGGTCAGGCGCTCCCGGTCCCCATTGGCCAGATAGAGCATGCCCTCACCATCCTCGCAGCGTTCCAAGGGTTTAGGGTTTACGCAGGTTTAGGGTTTAGGGTTCAGGCTTTAAGGATTTTGGTTACACAGACATTTACAGGGGGTAAGAGGGTGCAGGTTTTGACACATGCGCCTATGTGAGGTTATTATGAGGATATATAGGCCTTGGAATAATGGAGAGCCAGAATGAAAAGTGACTTGAGGTCATAAGCGGGTTCATCTCGGGTGGTTCTTTAAAGGAACATGGGTTTGGGATGGGTTGGGGTAAGCAAATGCCTTGAAATCTCGCATGAAGTAAGATGGAACGCCATGTACCCCCATTTGAGGACTAGAATCCTGATAGCCTCTATAGCCCCAGTGTCCATTTCATGCTCCATGTTCTTCTCCATTTGATTCTCCATTTATTCGGGGATAACACCCCTAAACCCAAAATAACCCCTATAAATCCCAGGCAACCCCCACACGACCCCCATACGCCCCACAGAATTTCATCACCCCATGTAACCCCTTTTAAATTTCTTAGCTTGGGGGAGGAACCCTAAACCCTTACCCCTGAACCCACTGTGATGCACTTCAAAAGTCAAGGTTAAACTTAGCCCAAGAACAGCAGGTGTTCCCCATCCTGGGGTAGGTTTGGGAGCCCTATAAGAAAACTCATGCCTATGGCGGTATAGGGATGATAAAATAAAGGGGTTTCAAGGGCACCCTGAACCGTACACCGCATTTTCAAAATCTTTTAGAATCTACCCCTGCCACATCGGCAGTTCCACTCTCTCAAAGCCGCGTTTCTGCCAACTCAAAGCCACCTTGTCTGCCAAGACTGAAACCCTGAACCCTAAATCCTAATCCCTGAAGCCTACACTCTGAAAAGTAGTTTCCATTTTCTTTTCCATTATCCCCATATAACCCCAATATATAAATATATATATATACACACCCTATAATCCCTATATAACCCCTATATAATCCCTATATCCACTGTATTATCCCTTTTTGTTTTTTTCATTATCCCAATATGTACCCTATAACCCCTACTTCCTTTTCTGCCAAGACTCATACTTGCCGTGACTCCAACATCCCCGGTACTGGGAGCCATCTGCGAAGTAGTAGACCCCCAGGCCACTGCACTGACCTGCAGCATACTGAACATTCTTGGGTTATGTAACTATATAGGGATGATGGAAAAGCAACTGGAAACTACTAGGAATGTATGCAAGGAAAAATGACTATTATCATTGCAATTGTTAATACCGCCGTTATTACTAGCATTAATGTTCTTATACCACCCATCTGTAATAATACTACACTGACCTGCAGCATAGGTTAGAGGGAATATCTTGGGGTTGCGTAGGAGTAATCGGAAAGGACACGGAAACTACTACAGTATATTAGTTATATAAGGAACTTGTACGGATTTAATTCCCTTCTTCCCTACAAATCACCAGCAACCAACAAACGTACAGAAATGAATCTGGCAGGCTTGCACAAGCCAAGAGGTCAAGCTGCACCATGCAAAAGGTTGGACAAGCTGGATGCTGTCGTCTAAAGCCTGTGCCGAAAAGTATGTCAAACCGAGCTGCCGTTGTACCACCATCCATCATAGGTATCGCCATTGGCATACTCCTTTCAGGTACTGGTGGAAAATTAACATGGCCAAAGTTCGACAATGCCCTTCAGCCCGCCTGGACGCCCTTGCCATGCCTCTTTCCATCATGCCACTCTCCTGCTTCAGGTCAACCAATTACACAAGGTACTTGCATCATTGCGCTGCGTGTACCGAATCCTGAGGCACGTCCTGCAACACAATAATGCAAGCTGAATGCGAACAACACGACGGCTGTGAATCCTGTGTACGTGAGGTTGTCGGGGCTGACATAGATGCCCTGCCCGTGCTTTCTGCCCGTGTGCCAGTCTCCTTCATATGAGCTCCCATCCTGGGCTTGCACACGCATGCACATGGTCCATGCCGTCATAACCTGCCTGCAAGTTCTTCAGACCGTCAAAAAGCTGCGCTTTTGATGAAAAGATAACTTGAAGCAAGGCTGCTGTCGCGTTCTTGGCAACAGAGATTACCCAAGGTACGTATCACAATCCCAAAACCGGAATCATATCATAGCCATCTGACTCAAGAAACCTATGCTCACAACGTTGGGGTTTCGGAACCCAGCCTTAAGCGTAAGCGCAGGCAAGAATCAGGCCACACATGCCTACCCCTGCCATGGAACTTGTCTATCTGAAACTGGCCGACATACTTCAGGCCTGTCCTTGGCTGGAAGCAGGGCAAAATCCTGTGTTGCTGTTGGGGAATTGAAATTAAGGTACCATAGTGTGGGTATATAGCATATAATGGGGTTGAGGAACTAGAAAAGTGTCTGCCACTTCAATGCCACTTCTGCTGTTCCACAGTCGTTCGAGAAACAAATTCTGAGCGGTTTTTAGCTTAAAGTAATTGAGTAACACCTGATAGTCCCCTTAAGTAGATTGAATATGGCTTTAGATAATAAGATCCCCATATAACATATAGTCTATCTACTTAAGGGGACTATATAACATACATGCAATAACATGCAACAGAACCTGTATCTTTTCTTGCGGAGCTTCAGATGGAACCCAACCTTGGCGGCCCTTGAAGCTTTCGAGCCCTCAACCTTAAAATCCCCGACTCAAATCCGGGCTCCCTGCTTAATGACATGATCACGTGCCACATCATGTGGCACTTTCGGGATCCCTACAATACGGTTTGCAGTATTTAATTTGCGGGTCTATATTGGAGTCCCCCTACTTACGGAAACTACCACTATACCTTCATACTGAAACCTTGGCCCAAGGCGCTCGGTGTTTTCAAGCGTTCCATGCCCACTTCTGAGGTAGAGCTTGAACTCCCCCTCATAATAGCTAGCTCCACCGTCGAGCTCCTCGCATCAATCGGATGGATGGGGAACAAGTGCTCTTGATAACTTTTCAGAATGATTGGCGTTCACAAAAATGCGACTTCTGCACAAATCGTTGAAAGGGCTGTTGAGACATCTAATTAAGGAGCTTTTGCTCATTGACGTCCTCTAGTCTCCCTTATTTCCCGATCCAGAAGGGCGTCACATTCAGAATCAATTTTTCAGTGCTGTGGCCCTTTTCGTCGATCTGCACAGTTATGCCCACGCGAGCTATACTAAAGGCCTAGAATCCCCATAATAATCCCCGATAAACCCCTATCTACCCCCCCTTCAGGGAGTTTAGGCTACAGCTCACGTAGTTGCGTTCCCCAAGCCAAGTCCTCACGACCGAAGCCGAACTGCTTCCTGGGCGCAAGCGCCAAGCATTAATGATATCATTTAGGTTGGTCCCCCACCCACTAATAGTGACCACAAGAGGTAATGGTAAGTATATTAAGGTCCTTATATATTCCTAGTATACCACGATTAGTGGGTGGGGCCCCAACCCAAGATAGCATAGCTTGAGGGGTCTGAGACAACATCCACAGACCTTGTAGGCATGCATATGCTTAAGATCCTGACTTCAACGAAAGCAAGGAAGAACCCCTATCTTTCAGGGAGAACGCCCGTTTCCGCGTGACTAGGCCCCTGCAAGCAGCGTAGCACTCCACCATCCTCGCCTTAACCCAAGGCCCTTGACCCTAAACGCCTCACCCTAAACCCGTCGGGACTATAAGGGGGTTTCCTAAAATTAGGGGTACCATTTTAGGAGCCCCTATAATAAGGTCTATAATCGTTTGGGTTCTATATTGGGGTCCCCCTTTCCCAAAATACCATAACCCTAAACAAAAACCTCCGTAAATCGTAAACCCTGGGAGCCTCCCAATGTCAGACTGCAGGCCATGCTTTTCTCGCTGGGCCTCGCAGGGGCATGGCTTGGACTTGCTCTCGGCACTCCCTCTGCAAGGGAAATTACAGACTATAATACACTATATGCCATACTGTATAAGGGTATTATGAGGATGTATAAGGTGTAGGGCATGGGGTTTGGGGGTTTCCCAATATTAAAGGGTACCAATTTGGGGGGTCCCCATGATAAGGACTATACACTCCCCCTTTCTTGGGGGAAGCGGATAAGTGAACATTTTACTGGAGGTTTATAGACTTCAAAGTTTGGCACAATCTGCACATTCTGCTGCATGCCGCGGCCAGACCATATACTAATACATACAACCTATCCAATGCGTACATTATTGTTATGTAAAATGCAGTGGGTCTTCAGGAATTTCAAAGCCAGGGTTAGACGGAGTTGTTATATGTGTCCTTGCCGCAGCCGCTGTATTTTCAACAGGTCACAGATTTCCAGCAATGAAGCCCTAAACCCCATTACCCCTGAAATTGATTCTCAAAACAGGGGACCCTGAGCTTACACTCCCTGGGAGCCGGGAAATATAAGAGGATTTTGGAGCCTTCTAATAAGCTTCATTTTAAAGGTGTTAGGGTTCGAAGGAATGGAACAGAACATGGAAACGATTAAATCAGTGGGGGTAATATAGGGGCTATTAGAACTCAGGGGTGTTACAAACTAACACCTAGGACTGGCTGCCTGGAACACACTGGCCCTAAACTTTGTAAGCAAAGTTTGCTTACTAAGTTCCGCTGTGCTGTCATGCCTGCATACTATTCATTAAGAGGGCCCCCCATCCTGCAATAGTAGTATAATGGGAATATAAGAGGAGCCTAATATAATTACCATTATCCCTTATAGTCACTACGGTGGATACTAAAAATCCTGCATGACCCTAAGTACCTTATACCTTGGGAATTATGGTACTATAGTATATTAAGGTCATGCAGGATTTTTAGTATGAACAGTATCACTGGGTGGGCTCTCCACCTATTTAGGCGTTCAAGGCCACTTCAAAGTCATCTAGGACACGTTTTGATGACCCATACACCAATGAAGCAATGAAGGGATAACAAGGGCCTCTAGGGGATATATGGAGCCAGATAAAGAGATTAAAAGGGCATAACATAATATTATCTGATAATATATATATATGAAATTTATATTAAAGTATATAACATAATATTATATTATTGTATAGCATATTATATTTTATATATATATATGTACACATCTAACTCTTAGGATAAAGCCCCAGCGTGCAGGCCTTCACCACCAGAGATGACAGCATCTCCGACCTTGCTGCATGAGGTGCACATTGGGTAAGAGCTGTTAAAGCTTACCCTAAGCCCTAAACCCTAAGCCCTAAACCCTAAGTAGTCGTTTCCATTTTATTTTCCATTATCCCAATATTACCCCAATATAACCCTAATATATACCCTGATATACCCCTAAGCTCTAAACCGGTTTAGGGTTTAGGCACGCGCATCGCACAGCAGTGCAGGCACGGTTTAGGGTATAGGGTTTATGTGGGACTTGGCCGGAGATTGTGAAATTTACGCCGAGTCCCTTAATGTCATGAATTTATGGAAATCCCCCTGTGGCTCCTGGACAAACGAGAGCGTCTTGTCACCAGGCAGCGCATCAATAGGCAGAGCAAGATAGACTTACTGCTGCCCTCTGTCGGCCAAGGCGCATGATGAGACAGACCCTATGGGACGGGCAGAATGCGACGGATCGTGGACAGGCGGCGAAATTGACAGCTATATAACAGTGGGCTTTGCTTTTTTGGTGAAGCTGGTACGAGTACGTACACGTTTACAAATCTGATGCCCGCACTTTTGCTGCTTATTGCTACAGACTCAGAAGGAACCTACCTTGAACTGCTCAAACGGCTGCCGCACAACATTGGACCATCTCCCTGGCTGGGCCATCACAGTACCTGGATCAATATTGGGCTCCATCCAAAATTAGTGCACGCACCTGTTGGTTTCAAGTTTCTGTGCACACTTTATAGGTGCTAAAAGGTTAACAAACACGTCAATGAGCTCAAAATTCACAGCCTTAAAGCTTTCAGCAAACGGATCGTGCTTTCGAATCCTTACCGCCAGACAGCACGCAGGCGCATGCAGTCAAGGTTGGACACATGCGCCAAGCTCAGCTGTTACAATCTTTTTTCAAACTCAGGTTTTCATCAGTGCCATGTTCTACAGTCACAAAGAGATGAGGTCACGCGAGGCCTCCCAGAAAAGCACCATAGACGTAGTCAGCGTGGCATGGATGGACTTTACTAGCGGAAAGCCTGCTGGCAATGCTTCAATGCCCAACAGCAGAAATGTATGAATCATGAATGCGCCCACCGGGCGGGAGGCTTTCAGTTGCCTATGCAAAGGCCTTGCTCTGCGCGGCATGGCGCAAAACTGCGGCATTTAGGCGGCGAAGCCCTCGGGGGCTCAGATGTTGCTGGGGCCTGTAGCACTCAGTAGGCATAAGTCTCTACTCCCTTGTTACCTACCCCATACTTTTTGGGGAAGCTGAGTAGATAGGGATAGCCCATATCAGTATAATAAGGGGAGCTAAAGAGCCCAGGAATCTCCAGAACCATAGCAGAATTATCTTTTGTTGCTTGAGGATCCCACTTGGAGGGTCATGGGGAGTTAGTAAGTAGGTTAATAACCCCTATAAGCCATAGAACAACCCCAATTATCCCCATTATTAACCTACTTACTAAATCCCCATGAGCCTCCAAGTAGCCCTATGAAGACTAGTTCGTAAAAAGAACCCCTTGTCAGCCCTCAGGGCCCACTTTCACAGCCACCTCTGGGGGACGGTTTGTGTCTTGGATGGACCAAAGAATCACGCCTCTGGCTACAAAACCTGGGGTCTGGGATCAAGGGCATATAGGGAACTGGAAAGGAAAATGGAAACTATGATACTAGAGAATCATATGCAATAGAAGATGGGAAATTTCATGACAACTATCAAGCTATATAGGGAATTACATGTAAAACTCAAGGTGCATTGGCACATCACAGCATTTGGAGGTTGTTCCTTTGGTCCAAACTTGTGCAAGAGTGCTCCAAAACGCAATCTTGCTCTCTGGGTCCTGGCGCCCTCTGTGTCCACAGGAAACCTCTCCGTCGAACTACATTACCTCACGAAACCTCTATCAGGACCTCTTACAAGAGAGCAAGGCTTGAAGCATGCGGTGGGAAGATACTCAGAGAAGCAGCAAAGCTGCTCAGAAGATCCAGGTTCAACTACGCTCTCACATGGCATCTGCGAGAAGGCCTGCTGCTGGCACACATCGCCGAAAGCCCTGTGCGAAAGCCCTGTGCTGCGGCAGCCCTCTACTACGGAATCGTACAAATATGACCTGTACTCTGGCCATCTTCAAATCTGAAGGGAAGAATGACAGGCAGAATCGCAGCAGCAGAAACACTTGCAAGCGCAGTCGCGCAGTACTATTTGCGGAATTGCAGCAATGGTAAGCACGATGACAATAAAGACAATTTTAACAATGACCGAGATGCGTGATGCAAATACTGACGACCATTATGACCATAAGTGCACCGGAAAACCGGCAAAGAGAATCATGACCATAGGAATGCCTTCATGCATGTGACATGACCGGATTTGCTCCAAGGCACACAACGATGGCTGCCAGGCCGCAAACTGTCGTTGTCTCTCCTGCCAACAGGTCTTCCCAATTGTTCAGGCTACTATTCTACGTACTCCTACTGTTCTTAGTATTACTGTCATTATTGTTCTCACGACTATTATCACTATGGCCAGCAAGAATTAGTAGTTCTTGTCTTTGCTAATGACACCCTTAATCAACATTATTGTTAGGTAGGCATATCACGAAACATTTGTGTCGTTCATAATGGGCATTGTAAGATACAAGAGGATATTACCTGGTTAGACCTTGAGCTTTCCCCTACCTAATCCAAATCCAGGAAAACCACATATAGCCCCAGTTTCCATTTCATGTCCTTTTGGCCCATGCTTGTTTCCATTTCATTCTGCACATCTCGCATCATTTTTTGGGGGCCCAACATAGACTCAACATACCACAAGCATAAAAATAGGGCAGAAAGGGACCTGCCATTTCTTGGAAACCGTTGGCCGTATCAACCACTGGAAAAAGCCACCTTCCGGTTCATGCCTGACTCTTTAATACTGTGGATAGTATCCCTAGAACCTATATAAACCCCATATACCCAATATAATCCCAAGGTAACCACCATACAAACGATTTCAACCCACCCGGCATCATCCCTACATTGGGGCAGTTCTACCCACTGGTGCTGAAGGAGGAGTGGGTAAAGTTTAGGGCTTAGGGGAAAAGAATATAGGTACCATTATAATGGTGTAAATGATATGGGTGGTTGTCAAAATCATGGTCCCTTTTTGGGTCCCTATTATAATACGGCACCTAATATTTAGGCTACCCAAAACAGGACCATTCTTTTGACAACCACCCATATGATATAATGGGATTACATACGGATCCACGCCCCCACTCTCCCTTATGCACCAGTAAGTCTGGAGCTCCGACGCCTAGAGCCTGACACTGACAAGAGCCAGTGCCTGAGCCCACAAGCCTCAAATAGGGATACTACCCCAGCAATAAGGTTTCTATCAGGGTCATACAAGGACTATACGGGGCTTCTGGAATTTTATGCAGTGTTTAGGGAGATTATCACCAGAATCAAACGGAAAAGAACATGGAAAATTGATGGAAACTTGGAATATTATAGTTGTTTATATTATAGGGACTCAGGTTTCCAAGCATCCAAGGGTCATTTTTTATGATGGATTCCTCGAAATAGGGGACGTAGTGTGTTTGGTGCCATGTTAAACTTTTACTGAGGTACGTGCGGAATGCCAACACTTCACAAGAGGGCCTTAGCTGATTTTGAAAACTGTCCATCGGATAGCCGACGGCAGCTAGAATCTTCCCATACGATACCATGCGGCTACAATATGTTCAGCCTTGCAAGCTTCAATACTTCTCTTACGTGTCTTGAAAACCCCTGCATAGCCGGACCTTCAAAACTATCCGCACTTGCTCGTAACGTATAATACCACAGCAGTGGAGAATCAAATGGATAAGAAAATTACAAATGAAATGTAAACTGGGGTTAGATGACTTTTATTTAAACTTTCTCAAGATTAGGGTGGCCCTGAAGACCCCAAGGGATATAGGGATTGTTGTGCTTTTATCTGGGGTTCCCGAAAAACAGGAGACCGGCACCCTGAAAAGGTATCCTCAACCTTTTCAAAACGATCCACCCTAAGCCTCAAACCCTAAATCCCGAAAGGCCTGAACCCCTCAACCCGTAAATTGCGAAATCCTTGTGCATCTGCATCCCCGAACCCCTAACTCCCGAGACCCTAAATCCTTGACCCTATGCCTCCTAAACCCCTAAAACCTCCCTGAACCCCTAACTCCTAAACGCCGGAATTGTTTAAAGCCCTCAGCCACTGAATTTACAGGTTCTTTAAACCCTGTTCGGAACCCTAAGCTCCAAATGGTAGTTTCCTTTTCCTCTCCAGTCAAATGTATACCCCTTGGTCATTATTTAGGTCCCTGTGCACCCTAAACCCTGCGCCTCAATATAACTCCTGAATCCTAAACCCTAAACCCTGAGACCTAAACCCTGAACCCAAAACCCTATAAACCCTTTGGGGGCCCCCAACATCTGCCTCGAGACCTGGCCCCTTTGGCACAATGAAACATTCACGTCGGAGCATTGCCTTGAGACTCAAGCCCCTAAACCCTAAACCCTAAACCCTAAACAGCTTTAAGGGTTTTAGGGTTTTGGGGTGCTAGCGGCTTCCAGAGTTTCAGGGCTTTGGGGATGTATGGAATTTAGGATTTAGGTGCTTATCGTTTTTAGCGTTTTTCGGGTTTAGCGGCTTTAGGTTTTTTAAGGTATAGGGATCAACAGAGGGTTAACGTTGTGCATGTTGCATAAGTGGGGACACGGTTTGACAATATAAAGTGCCTCCGGTGTCTGAGGCTGCTTCGTAGTCTTTCAAAAAGCGGGCACACGGCCACAAATCCAGCTTTCGGCTGCACGAAAACATGACCGATAAGCAGTGGAATCCGCTTTCAATGGGCGCTCTGGGTCCATGTCCAACCTACGATCGGATCCAGATGCACACTGAATGGGGCTTAACAAGTTGAAGATGTTGAACGCCAGCCTTTCAGCCCTCGACATCAAAATCATTCCGAATCTTAAACCCCGCAACTAGTCTAAAGCATTTTCCATAAGATCTGGCCCGAGGATTTGCGATGGTCTCAGTAAGAGCACGCCATGAAAAAGTCGGGGTGATCAATGCAGAAACCCATCTTGGGGATTCTTGGGGGGTTGAGGTCCCAAAATGGTCCTCCAAAATACTAGGACCAGCTCTGTCATATCACCATATAATTAACCCCATATGCTGCAATCAATGTATAACCCCCAAAATAACCCATAGAACCCCTATATAATCCCATAGAATAACCCCTATATAACAACCTCTGAGAGTAGCCCACATAGGGCCCAGAATACTGAAAGAATTTTTTGCGCATCCCCAGCTCACATTGCAGGATTGGGCTGGCCTCCCGCAAGCTTTAAGGGGGATCCTAGAATATATATATATATATGTGTGTGTGTATTTGTGTTTATATATGAGAGAGTTCTATTCATATTCATACTCATATTCATATATGGGGGTTATGCAGAATATACATGTATACATATATATATATGTATAAGTATATAGATGCATATATATATATATGTATATACATATGTGTGTTTATGTATAAATATATATATGCTCACCCCCCCCTCC